AAAACAAACTAAAAATAATCTGATTCGGAAAGTATCTAAAATAAAAATTTATCAAGTACTTTCTAATTTATGTCATATAAATGCAGACGTCTAAAAAAGGAGTTGAGAACTTGAAAAAACAAGAAAATGTGGAAGCTGAAGATTGCAAAAGGTCATGGACCAGACTTGTTTAGTACCGACAAATATATTGGTAGACAAATTTGGGAGTTTGACCCTGATGTAGTGTCGACAGAAGAGCGAGCAGCAGTTGAAAAAGCACGAGAAGAATATAAAAAGAAATTCAAAAATGATCGAGCTCAGGCTCCGCCTTGTTCTGATCTTCTAATGCGAATGCAAGTGAACACTTACGACTATTGCATGACCAAGTGGGAAACATGACTGTGAACTTGTTGAATGATATGCTGATGCTCGTGCGGCCCACCTTCACATGTATTTTTATCTTCAATCCACAGCTTAAAAAGGAAAACAACAATATCGACCTAAGCATACCACCTGTGAGACTAGGGGAGAAAGAAGAAGTGGCCTATGAGGCGGCAACAATTGCTTTGAGGAAAGCTATTCGGTTAAATTGCGCCATCCAAGCAAGGGATGGGCACTGGGCCGCTGAAAATGCAGGCCCAATGTTTTTTACACCACCCCTAGCAAGCGCTCACTCCTGTTTCATTGGGTTTTCATTTTCCATTTTCTATTTTCATTTTGCAGAAAACACAACAAAACCGATACCAAACCCACAATGTTTCACATGTACATATAGATTTACTAATCAAATTTTCTCCAGTGATTTGGTAATGCAATATAACTAATGCAGATCATTATCCTACGCATAAGTGGAGCAATTAATACTATCCTAACATGGGAACACAAAAAGGAGTTGGTTCGCTAAATCTATCTTCATCAAGTAATTACTAATGTCTCTAGGCTCTTCATATATCTTATAAAACGAGTTCAATATACACAAAATGCCCAAATCAAGCAAATCTTGATTTGTTCTTATTCTTTGCATGAATCACAGAAGGGAAGAGAGTCAAACCAAATCTGTGTTCGTCCCAAGCCTCTCCGTCTTCGTCTCTCGCCCTCGCTCCTCGCCTCTCTGTCTTCGTCGCCTCGCCTCTCCCGATCGATTCGCCCTCTTCGCCTGTTCAGCTCTGCTTCGTCTCAGAGGGGCTAGGGCACAACCAAACCAAAGGGGCATGTGTCATAAGAGGGAATTTCAAATTTTAGGGAAAAATTAAAAAAAAAAAGGTGAAAACGACGTCGTTTTCACCAAAACGATGCCGTTTCGAAAGGGCGACAGGAAGGGCGACAGGAAAGTGCTACCGAAGATCTGTATTCGTCAAAACCACCTTCTTTTTTCTCTCTCTCACTGTATTTTCTTCTTTTGGTTTCATACACAATCCATGACCAAAAGCCACTCTCATCATCTGATTTTCACAAAACCCACATGGATTCACTGAAACCCAGTTCAGCTCCAACCATGAACAAGTTAGCCAAAACCTTCCACAAAGTCATTCACCTCAGAAAGGCCTCAAAGTCCCTTTCAAATACTGGGTTTTCCTTGCTCATACCTCAGGAACACAACAATGTATATAATTTAAGGATTAAGCGTGTGATTTTTTGTTCAAAAAATGATACTTATTCTGAAGATGAATGCTGACAACGTTAGTTAGGGAGACAACTTTCATACACATTTAATACTTCAGAATTTTTTTTTGAAAAAATTAAAATACTAATAACAAAAATGACACAAGACACATACTTTCTCTACCAAAAGTCCAACTAGTCATTCAATATATGACTTGAAAATGAAAAGCTCACATGAATTCTTTTGACTTCTATGAAGAAGTGGAAGTTTTAATTATCATAAAAAAATGCAATTGCATTAAAGTCAAATTTCAAAGTTTGGGACTTGAGTTTGGAAGACACAAAATCAGGAGAAAGAGATAAGCATACCAGCAGTTTTGGAGTCATTAACAGCAACACAAAAATCTTGAAGAGGATTAAGGTCAGAAGCAGGGGCCAGTGTGGAAGCCAAAGCCATGATGGCTGTGGTTAAAGCGAGTGCCCATTTTAATTGAAGCAAATTGAAATTTTTATGCCTAATTGCAATTGCTTGAAAAGAGGGTGATTGATGTAGGATGGCAAAGCGTGTCTATTTATAGATTCAGATAGATAAATAGTACTTGAATTTGTCATTATATTTTATATTTTTCAGTACCAAGTCTTATATTTTCCAATACCAATAAAATGAGAATTAATACTATCCTTGAATGGGTAACTTGTTTCACCATTCAAGGATGAACTGTTCTTAACCAACTTCACAAGTTTCTAATTATGACCCTGTTTGGTAAAGTTTTTTTCAGCTTATTTCAGCTTTCAGCTTAATTTAAACTATTTTGATGTATTTGGTTTAGCTTAACAATGCAGCTTATAGCTTTTTGTAAGTCAAAAATCAGCTTATTCTTTAAGTGGAGCAGGAGAAGCTTAATTTATAAGTCAGAAATCAGTTTATGTTCATAGTTATAACTTATAAGCTGTTAAGGCATAAGCTATAAGCACTTTTCCACAACTCTACCAAACAGGGCCTATAGCTGCTTACATCAACATATTGGGTGATTCTATTGAATTTTTTTTTCTTTTTTTAAAGAAGAAATATCATTTTGTTCCTCAAATTATTACGTAAAAATTAATTTGGCACCCAAACTTCATATTATTTTAATTTGACCTTTAAATTTTTTTTAAAATTTGATTAATTTACCCTCTACCGTCTGTTTCCGTCTACAATCAAATAGAATTTGTTGATGTGGCACCAAACTTTGTTTGGAATTTCATTTTACCCCCCAAACTATACCTTAAAAATTAATTAGCCCCCAAATGTAAAAAATTAAATTTAAATATTTAATAAATAATTTATTTATCTCAATAATGAAAAAATTAAATTTTAAATAATATACTTTGTAAAAAAATAATAACAAATAAAAAAAAAATTCTCATTTAGAAATATATTTTAAAGTCTCAAACTATGAAGTATGGATACTTTGAAAAACATGCCGTATTTGTATCGAGTATTTATTGGCGTATGGTATTTCGTATAGTACTTCTGCATATGTACCGGGTACATGAAACACATATTAAAATTTTTTTTTCTTAATTTTTGACATACTCAGACGTACCTAATATATATTCAAGTCATGTCATACTTCAGTCGAAATAATATTTTCTGATACTATAGAGATAAAATTCATTTACTAGACGTCTTTTTTTATTAGGGGGACGTATGTGTAGTTTTACTAAGTAGGCTTATTGTCTAATAAGTCCTATAATAATTAATGACATTTTTCTTCATACATTATTAAAAAAAGGTCACTAATTGTTAATCTTTAGTGGCAGTTTGAAAATTTTATCACAAAAATATCACTAATTATAAGTTTTAGCGGCAGTTTAAAAAAGCGTCAAAAAAAATTCACTAGTTTTTAATTTTCAGCGACAATTTAAAAAATTCTTCACAGTAAAATGTCACTAATTGTAAGTTTTAGCAATAATTTATAAAAATCGTGACAAAAAAAAATCACTAATTGTCAATTTTTAACGACGTATGTAAAAAATCGTCACAAAAAATTATTTTTAGCGACGATTATAGTAAAAATTATTTTTATCATTGGCTTCTTCAGCCCCGTTTTGTTGCTTCATTACAATAGCCATATCTTTCAGAGCACTATCCACTCTATCTCCGGCATTAGTCGCTGCCCAGAACCGCGGTATTGCCTTTTCCGGATCCTTATCTACCAACTGGTCGAAACAAACCCAAAAAATGATCAAAAACCCACTAATCAAGAACAGTATTTGAGTGCAATTTGAGACCCAGAAGCTTTACCTGAACATTTTTGGCTCTGGCATAAGGTGTGTCACCGACTGGGACTTTGTGGGTGATATGCAAGGAGCCAGAGCGAGTTCTGGAGACCGCGAGAGGCTTGCCTGGAGACGAAGGTGCAGATTTTTTTGATCTGAAACCAGGGGGAGCATTCCACATGTCCTGCAACATCTTTGAAACTTTTTTTTTCTTTTTTTTTTCTTTTTTGGATTTTGTGGTGAGAATTGATGAGAGAGATGAAGATGGTTCTCTTTCTCTCTGGCTGCCAAGAGAAGTAGAGGGAGAGTAGGGATCTTACAGAGAGAGAGGAGAGAGGGGGGGAGGAAGAGAGTGAAGAAGACGATCGAATTTAGGGAGGTATTGGTGGACGATATTTTGAATTTTCGACCGTTAGGTTACCGTCTTATTGTCTCTGCCGACGGAGTCGGATCCTCTGAAGTAAACGTGTGTTAGTAGATGGTGAAGTGAAGCTTCTGATTGGGCCAAGTTTCGGCGCACACAGACATAGCGTGTCCTGTATCTTAGTGAATGAAAACCCTTTTCGTCTACGACACAATATGCTTAATATGATCCTCAAAAGATTTTATGAGTAGTGGGAAACCACGAAGTGGTCTTACTAAGATTACGCTAAAACGTGTTCTTATTGGTTTATTGTAGTAACCACTAAACATGTTCTTTTTCAGAAAATGCTAGAAAGAGATAAACAAAGCCACCGCACATACCACTTCTTGTGTGTCATATATTGACTTTAGTCATAGTCTGCAATATGGGACATTGATAGTAGAGAAGTACTTTGGTTCTTTTAAGCTTCAAGTTAAAAAAAAAAAACCAAAGATTCATGCTGGATTTTCCAGGCAATCAAACAGGGTGTAGTGGGAAATCTTGTTAGGGTTGGGGTTAGTACATTATTTTCAGTAAGTTGGTCCCTTTGGGTGTCTGCTTGGGATAGGCTGAGCTCAAGGCACATGCACATCAATATCATACCTGAACACGGTGGATCAGCTCTTGTTCAGATGTAGAAACAAAGCTATCATGTTTCCAGCTTACAACACACTCTCTCTCTCTCTCATGAATGGTCACTCTTGTAGTTAACTGATTCCATTTGGTAGGTAAGCATACTAACCACATTGATTTGATAATTTTAGCATTTATTGGTCGGTTCAATAATGTGAGTAATAACCGAATTTTTCACTATTATGTGTTCCTGATTAATTACATTGATTATTTACAGTCTCTTATAATGTTAATTTTGTACTTTGTATTCTAAATTTTCATTTAAAATTTCATATCAAAGAGCAGTGTGTTAAATTTGCAGTTTGCGATACAGTGATGAATGATATTCTTATCTGATATACAAAATATGATTGAAAAATGTAATCATCATTATAGCATTATTAAATTTCTTAGCATTCTCTTTCTCTACATATTCTTTTAAAAGTATGTGTACAAAAACCAAATATTTTTTTTTTGGTCATCTAAAAAGAAAACTTTATTGATGAGATGAGCAAAACAAGCGACAACATACATCAATAAAGGAGGGAAGTGCAAAAAGCATCATAGCTAACACTCACAATCCCAACTAGATTGGCACCAAGAAAGAAGTACAATCATTTGCTAACACTAACCTTACAGATTGGCGAGAAACCAATCCAAAACAGAGAAAAAACGAAAGTAGAAAAAACCACCCAACCACACAACCTTCCAAATTTGCCACCACCTCCTCCAACTCCTACTCCAAGGTAGCCACATCTGCTAGCACCCAGAAATTCCCCTATGTACACTATAGGAAGAGCAACAAAAATGGACTCATACACCAGCAGCAGTCAGCAACAGTAGCATTCTAATCACCACCCAACCACACAGCCTATAGAGAAGGAACAAGCAACCATACTTTAAACAGCCAACAATATACAATTGCTATTGTATGCTGCCTTAGAACAGTAGCACATATCAGCAGCAATTGTTGTGCAGCCCAAAATGAGTTCTTCCAACCCAGATGCAAACCTCCCACCTAGTTTGTGATGTTATTGCTGCTGTTGAACACAAAAGCTACCATAGTAACCATTCCTCAAGAGGGCTTGATAGCAACCAATCCCTGCAGCTGCTACTCACTAGATTACTCCATTGCAGATTAGGACCATGACAGAATACTCAGTCCAAAAGCAGTCCAACATCATTCCAACAGCGGAATAGATCATCAACTAATGCATCGCACACCATCCCAAAATAACAGCCCACTGCTAGGCCTAGTAACAGCATAGAAACAGTGATCCTTCAGAGTGTTGGGGTTTTAGCAAACACCATTTTGAAGGATTGCACCACAGTCAGTTCCAGCACCAGAAGCATAGTCTATGTTCTTCTGATAAACTGAGATACTCAATCCATCTTTACAAGCACAATAGGTACACCACCTATTTGCAACCTCCAACCATTCTCATACACCAACAGACATCCAAAGCCATGCAACGGACCTGCAGCCAACAGATCAGATCAGACCTGACCTTGGCGAACTAAATCTGTGTGAGTCCTACCTTCATACAAAACTGATTCAACTTTAACTCCAATTCTTTGCAGAGTGACTGTACCAAACAGTTTATAACTCCAACTCTTGGTCTGCTATGCATGGCAGACCAACAACAGATATTGCATATCAGTTTGCCCTCTGCATCCCAGCATTTCAGCACTTCAGACCAGACCAGCATTCAGCATTCAGCATAACAGCCAGAATGGCATAGCAGACCAACAACAAAAAGCATTTCAGATTACCCTCTGGAGCCCAGTAGGACAGATACAACATCAGGCAGATCAAAAAACACCCCTCTGACACACCATTCCACAAACAGCAGCAGGCTACAAAACATCAATAGTCAACAATAACAGTAGAAACTACTCAACAATAGCAGACCAACAACATATCCACAACAGAGCACAGCAGGAGGCAGATCACAGGCCAACCCCTCAGTTTATAATGCAGAAACTTCACATACCCTAAACCAGATCAGATCATAGTCAGAGCACAGCATATCAGATCCAACATAACCCTCTGCAGCCCACTAAAACAGGTACAACTTCAGGCAGAACAAACTCCCCTGTCACACACCTTATCACACCTTTCTCAATAGCTCTCCAACCAATACTAACACCAATCAACAGAAACACAGCACCAGTAGCAGCCTACCTCCACCCTACCACACTCTCTCATTAAGACCCAAAACACCTCCTAACTTGCTTAAAATTAAAGACAGCATCATTAACTGAGAATGATGCACCACTGAAATGAGATCTCATCCAAATTGCCACTCTCACCTTGATACACTCACACAGATCTTGAAGATTGGGCTGTACTGAATTGAACACACAATCATTCCTATATCTCCACACAGACCACATTGCAGGTGGTAAAACCTTCCAAATCTGGTTTACTTTCTTCTTAAACTTCCAACCCATCCACCATAGTAGCAACTCTTCAATGGAACTGGGAATAGCCCACTGAAAACCCCACCAAAAAGCAATATAAGACCAGATTCTCCAGAAAAAAGGGGCAGTGAAGCATAATATATTTAGTTGATTCACTTGACTCATGACAAAAAATGCACCTCAAAGCATCATCACTCACCAAAATGCCTAACCTGTGAAGCAGCCCTTTTGTTTTCAATCTACCTCTCCAAGCTAACCAAGAGAAGAATTTAGCTTTTGGAGGTGAGAAGTTATTCCATATCAGTTCAACTGGTCTCTAAATGGGGCCATCATTAACTAAACCCCAAGCATAAACAAGATTAACCTTGAACACACCTGACTGTATAGGCTTCCAACACAAACAGTCAACAGCATCACTTCTTAAAACAGGGCCAGATCCCAAAAATTTTTGTAACCTAACCAACTCATCCTCTTCCCAAGCCCGAAGTGATCTTCTGAAATTAAAAATCCACCCAGATTGATGAGATCTTCTAGCTACTTGCAAACTCAAGAAAGACTCTTTATCTACAACCAGGTGAAACGAACGAGGAAATTGGCTTAATAAATTTATGGATCCCATCCAAGGATCCCTCCAGAAACTAATTCTAACTCCATTCCCTACTACAATCTCAACATTCTCCTTGTAGAATTGAAAGAGCCTAACATTCCTATGAGCTACTAGTAAAACGTCTTTCCATATCTTAGATGTAGAACCAGATTCAGCCAGAAAAGGATACCACCTTCCCCTTGTAGAGCCATACTTCTCACAAATTACCATCTTCCACAACGTATCCTCCTCTTGGCCATACCTCCACCACCACTTTACTAGCAAACTGTCATTTGCTAGCCTGATATGTTTGATTCCCAGACCACCTTGTTTCACACTCTTATATACCTCCTTCTAACTAACTAGATGGATCTTCTGATGATATTCTAAATCGCCCCATAAAAACGATGCTTGAATCCTATCAATCTCTCTAGTAGACAGTACAGATTTTATGAGTGTAACTCTCCCAGCAAATGACAAAACTCTTCTCTTCCACCCAGATAACTTCTTCTTAAATTTCTCCATAACTGGTTTCCAAGTCAACCTCCTACTAGGATTGGCCCCCAATGGTAATCCTAGATATTTTAATGATAACTTCTGGCTTAGACAGTTCAACTTTGTAGCAAACTCATCAACCACCGCATCGGCCACCCCCACTCCACACAACACTTTTGAGAAATTAATCCTTAAGCCTAAGATGACCTCAAAGCACCTAAGGATTCTTTTAATAGCCAAAATTTCAGACCATTTAGGCTCATAGAAAATCACTGTGTCATCAGCAAATTGCAAGTTAGAAACAGTCAAACCATTAGCACCTACTGAAACACCTTTAAAAAGACCCATCTCATTTGCTCTCGATATGAGTATGTTCAGTCCCTCAGCTACAACATTAAACAAAAAAGAGGATAATGGATCGCCTTGCCTTAGACCTTTTTTAGGGCAGAACTCAGGAGATGGTGACCTATTAACCAGAATTGAGACTCTAGCAAAAGAGATACAGCCCTTCATCCACTTGATTCAAGTAGATCCAAAACCAAAACTCTCCAGCATTTGATTGAGGTAGTTCTAGTTGACCGTGTCATAAGCTTTTTCAAAATCAAGCTTCAGGAATGAGACTATATTTGATTTTTGTGTTCCTAACATTACTATTCTTTTAATCTTTTTCATAACATTACCAATTTTGAAATCATAAAAATCTTGAGTTTTTAACTAAGAACTAAACAAATAGGCTAACTCAATACATATTATATGCATGTACCATAAGGTTTAATTATGACATTTTGTCATCTTGTTATGAATATTGTGAATGTGTAGTGTCATTTATTAAAATCTTTTGTTTTGCAATGTTACTTGCGAATGATTGTGATATAATTACGAATGTACATACAATAAACACATTTTTGTAAAGGTGTGTATTAATTCATATTTCTTTGTAATACGAATTCTACTTATTGTCAAGTCAATAAAACAATCAAAATCCTAAAAATTCTATATGATAGGAGTTCCACAGGTGGGGTTGATGTCATCTTTAGCTGTTAACTGCGACTTAAGAAATGAATGCTTGCTCGATGGTGTTCAACCAAAACTGGGGGAGCTGCAGGAATCAATCATCATCAAACTAGCTATTTGGCTTAAAGCTTCATTCAAGGATTTCCACTATTCTATAAATGATGTTATGTTCAATATTTCACAGATTAGAAAGTGTATAGGTGAAAGGGTGTGAAGTGTCGTGTATGTTTTTGGAGTGTCTAGAGATCTGTGTGAGTTGGAATCTCTCTAACTCTATTTGGAGGGTTTGGGAATGCAAATGATTAGTCTTACTTTGGGTGCCAACATAATTGAGATGCTTAGTTTTAATAATAAAGCAACTTTTATTCAAATCATTTTGTAACCTTTCTTTATTTTAATAAATTTTGCTTATTGCTCAAAAACAAAAAAAAAAAACAAAAAAACTGGCGACTTAATACCTTTAACTTTACATGGATGTATTTTCTTGGCAATTCTTTTGGTACATATTGTTTAAGAAATGTGTACCATGTGCATTTTATTATGTATTTTTTTAGTACTTGTTATAAATTCTTATGAAAATGTTACGTAATATTCTTGTAGAGATGGGCTTCCTCTAGTCCAAGATCTATATTGGAGGGAGTTATATGAGTTTGTGGGGCCTTTCGTGGATAACATCTTGATAATCTGAATTATTCGTTTTCTAATAACATTCGTGCATATTATTCACACAAAATATTAAGTTGATCTAATAATCATAATCTATTCAATTTGTTGCGTTCGTCTCCAAAAATGAGAGACTATTCACCAGTTGCTCTCCATTTTTTTTCATGCCATCTTCCATGTGTGCTAATTAAATTAAAAAAATGGACCAATAGTTAAATATTTCATTTTTTGTCATTGAGGCTACTCTTGAAATTTTAGTCCGATAATTATCTAGTATATGTGGAACGGACAGACTAACTGGAGCAAAGCTTTAGACAGAAGTTGTTGGCTTGAATTGAAATAATAACTAAATTTATCCATTGTTTATTTACGATTACGTTGCATAAAATTGCACTAGTATTTAATTTTCAGTAGTGCTATAGAAGTCGACAATTGGCTTGAAAATGATTTACGTGCTGAGTATTGATGAATTAGATTATAGTGGGTTCATGTCATTTTTTTTATATAAATTTAATTTATATAAGATATTACAATGAAATCCAATGAATTACAATCATATCATAGTAATGAACATCAAATATAATATAAATTTTTACACACACACAAAAAAAACACTCTAAAAAATGAGAGAGAAAGTCTCAATTAATATACAGGAAATAAGTTCCACACGCAGGTGGAGAGATTCGAACTACTGACCTCCTAGTGAGGCGCAGGAGTTCTGTCCAATCAAACTAACTCCGTTGATTAGTGGGTTTATGTCATTGACTAATTTGTATTCGATGTCAATTGATTTCATGCCAATTGTCAATTTAAAATATAATTTTTTTCTGCATTTGTTGTTTTCTATATGGGGAGGGAGAGAGAGTTTTCCGTGTGAACCTTCCTTTTTTTTTCTTCTTTTTTTTTCTGTGTGATCTTAGTGAATATCAAATACCATGCATCAATTTCTTCATGAAAAGCTTATTGCGAAATGTACCTACACTCAACTTATATATATATTGATGCAAACTAGCCAATGATTTGTTGAAACTTAGTGAGGAGCACATATATTCACTTTAAAGAAGCACATATATGCATGCATGTCATTTTATGTGCCTTCTTGGGTTATTATGAGTAGCCTTCGAGTTCATAGACCTTTGGATGATGCGTATGAGAATAAATAATCATCTTGATGTGCTTAGCAAAACTACAAATGCCATAAGAATAATCTTTTTCATACAATCGAAAACTTGAAGCAAATGTTGTTTTACATTATGTATTCATACACACAAGATATATATATATATTAGTCTTATGCACCTAGGCCTACAATTCATAAATCTTTTATGATCATTTCTATGAACTTAATTAATCACTAAACCACGTGCCATTATATATACAAATCCATTGTCATCTTTCGCTTCTTACATCAAATTTTATATTCACAAGCACTTTTTACTACAACAAAAAATGAATAGTATTGTTGTAAAGCATACAATAACGAAAAGCCACACGCATTCTATCTATCAAAGGAGGGGAACACGCACTTATTCTTTTTTCAATCTCCATCTTATTTTTTTCTTTCTTTGTTTAACATTATGCATGCGTTGTGCCAATAGATTCCAACATTATCGCGCCCATTGTAATTAATTGGTGTGGATTTCAAGTTGGTTTGCTGCTGGTTGTCTATGAGGTCTGGCCGTTTGTAGCTGCTGGGTGTCTAGCTGCTGGTGTTATAGGATGTGCAGTTGGTTTGTTGTGTAGTTTGCAATATTGGTTAGATGATGCCAGGTGGTGATTATAGATGATGCTATTGGATTGGTCTACTCTGCCCTGCTGCTGGAATTATTTGGGTGTTGCATGCTGATTTGGGGGTTGAGTTTTTGGGGTCTTTATTTTATTTCTGGGCATGGTCTCTCACCATCCCTTTGTGGTTGAGCTCGCAGATGATTGGGCTCTCTTCTCGGTGCCAACCTAGTTGGGATTGGGTTGTTAGCTTTGATGTGCTTCTGCTCTTCGACCTCTTTATTGATGTTCAACTCATATGTATTTGTATGTTTTCATCATCAATAAAGTTCTCTTTTGCTGATAAAAAAAAAATAGCTAACATGACTCATTTAAAGGGTCCCTTAGAGAGAGAGAGAGAGAGAGAGAGAGAGAGAGAAGTAGCTAAATTAACTATATACATTTAAAGAGCCTGTTAAAACAATAAAAATAAATAAAAATAACTGATTGTATTATTTAATAAGTCTGATTTGATTAGTCTGTTAGAGTTACTCTTAGGCCATATGTTAAGTAAGTCTAAAAAAATTATACACTCTTTATTACACTAATTTTCATGTAACATAAATAATTTTTTACGTTTCATAGCATTTATCTTAAAAAAATACAATAAAAAATTGATAAAAAATCAAATAAATAGAGAAAGTATACAACTGAGGATAGTAAGCGGGAATCGTGATTAGCGGCAATTTATTTAAATCTTTAATATTTTTTATTTCAATAACGTTGCTTTTTTCTTCTTAAAAGTTTGTCAATCATTCACACCCTCAGAGTGCATTAAAATCACTGTCATGAATGCAAGTGGATATCTGATTAGTTTTTATTTATTATTATCATTTTTTTTTTAATTATTTGTAGTTAAGGATAGGTTTAACCTCTTCAAAAAAAAGTTAAAAAGTCAAAAATTTAAAAAGTTACTATCCTATTTAAATCATATCATCTTATTTAAGTCACGTCACATCTGTATTACATCACTTCAAACTCAATTCATACTTTATAAAAAATCAAAAAATATATTTATTTAGAACATTCCAAACAATTTCTAAATTTTTTAAAAGTTTTAAATTTTTAAGTTCTATTGAACTAGGCAAGTCTAGTTGACTGCTCCATTTCTCTCTTTGGCTGCTCCATTTCTCTCTTTTTTATTGAGTGTTTAGGAAATGATTATTTGAATTGATTTTTTATTTTTTTAAAAAAAATATATAAAAAAATGATGTGATTGAATATTTTATTTTTTTATTATTTTAGTCAAAAAAAATTAAACCCCAAAGAAGACATAAGAGTCTTTTTATAGTAATACAAAAATTAACATCTTATACCACTACAAACACTTTAACATACTAATTTAAAAAATTGGATATTTACCAATAAGTCTCATCTCACAAACAAGTACTTCAATTAGTCTTGAATTTTTTCAATTGATTTGTTAAGTCTTATTAGTAGAGAATTTATTTCCGTGTAGTCTTATTTTCGATTTTAGTAGCATTTTGATGGATGACTATACCTTTTTATTAATATGGTAGGTATGATGTGACAATCTAATACGGCAGGTATTAATGTAAACTCCAACGTGACGGATATAATGTGATATTTTAAAAAAGCTAAAAAAAAATTAATGTACTTTTCTCAAATATGATAACGTGACGCGTATGATGTAACACTCCAAATCTTTTACTAAAAAGAAACTAAAAATTCCTTAACGTTCTTTTCTCAAATATGACAACGTTACACGTATAATGTGACACTCCAGAAAAATTTAAAACTCCTTAGTTTATTTTTTTCAAATGTGACAACATGGCGAGTATGATGTGACAATCTAAAAAAAATTAAAACTTATTAGTGTACTTTTTTTAAATATTGTTGGCTCAAATTTAACAATATGATAGGTATGATGTGACACTAAAAAAATTAAAAGTTCATTAGTATACTTTTTTTAAATGTAACGACGTTACGATTATGATGTGACACTCTAAAAAACTAAAAGTTCATTAGTATACTTTTCCTAAATGTGACAATGTGAAGGGTATGATGTACTGCTCCAAAAAAGTTAAAAACTCATTAGTGTGTTTTTTTTAAATGTGACAACGTAACGGGTATGATGTGACACTTCAAAAATATTAAAAACTCATTAATATATATATATATATATATTTTCCAAATGTGACAACATAGCGAGTACGATGTGACACTCTAAAAAAATTAAAAATTAATTAGTATACTTTTATTTTTTTCAAATATGACAACGTGACGAGTACGATGTGACACTCTAAAAAGACTAAAAAATTATTAGTGTACTTTTTTCAAATATGACAACGTAGCGGATATGATGTGACACTCTAAAAAAATTAAAAATTCATTACTGTACTTTTTTCAAACGTGACATGTGACACTTTAACGTGGTGGGTATGATATGACACTGTAAAAAAATTTTAAAAAAATAATGTACTTTTTCTAAATGTGACATTCCAACATAGCGGATATAATGTGGTACTAAAAAATTTCTTAGTATACTTTTCTCAAATTTGACACTACAATATAATGAGTAAATGAGTCATTACATATCAAAAAAGACTAAATAGATTATAAGAAAAAAAATATAAGACTATATAAATTACAATTTCAAAATATAGAATTTATTATTCAACCTCTTTATAAAAAAGAAAAAATGCAAAAAAGAAAATTACAACTAATTTTTGTTAATTAATATATGACACTATGACACTCAACCTGTTAAAGATGGTAGTCTGCGAGAAAATAAAAAATAATTGAAGATGCTCTGTCACCCACCCGACAAAATCACACGACCCAGGCCGGCCTAGCCTAAGGCCATGAAACCTGTGCTTAGGCTCTAAAAATTAGGTTTAAAAAAAAAAATTTAATTTATTATTTTGTATTATATCCAAAATTTAAAATTGTTTAATTTTGTTTAATTAATTTAAGTCATTTT